CATGCATCCATTCATTCATTCATCATCCATCCATGCATTTAGGCATCCATCTATCCATCCTAACATCCATCTATCCAGGCATCCATCCATCCAACCTACCTTCCATCCATCCATGCATTCATCCATCCATCCATCCATTTTAGTTTTAGCTACACCATTATCCGCCACAAAATGTGTCTTTCCTTTTTTCAGATGCAACTAAAACAAAAAGAACAAGTAAAATTGTTCTGGTTACTTTACAAGTGATAACACCAACTTTTTTTTTACTATCGGAGTCAGAGAGATTTATTTGTCTTTTGCATCTCATGTGGTACATGTAGTGGAAGAAAATTATGTACACAGGGTCCCAGTTACATCTAACAACAAAATGTAAAAGAAAGACTGTAATAAGATCTAAGATATGAACGAAGAAAAACATCAACTAAATAATACACTAAGCACTAGTAGCATAAAAACATTACGTCGAACAACAGCATGAACATGAGTCTGTGTGAGCAGGGGGGTTGATGTGTGTGATCATAAGATCGATAGGCAATGCTTATATGAGGTTGTTCCCAAACAGTCTTTTCTTTCATTACTACAGCACTAAAATGGACACAGAAAGCAATGCAAATCAGATTTATTCTGTCTGTTCTACTATTTGGGTTGCCATTTCAGCTTGTTATAATTTGCTGCTTTTCATTAATAATTTATTTGTGGTTTTCTAAAATCATTACATCGTGTTTGTTTTTTTTCCTTCTTCACTCTAACTGTAAAGCACTTCATAGTTTCTGTTTCAAAAAAGTGTTTCACAAATTACCCTCTGACAGATAAGTGCCTCTGAACTTTTGTTGAGTAACAAAGTGAATTAGGTAGCTGTTGATACTCAGACATAATCCTGGAAACTAACAGCCTAATATATTTATGTACTGTCAGCAGTGCGGCAGATGGTTACAAGTTGAGGCTGGTTTAGAACATACTCCAGGCTTTCACAGTTAGATATCATGTTGTACAGAGAAGGAACTCCGGCTTTTGGCACTTCAGAGTCATCATCGAGGCCTTTCATGACTCCTAAAAGGTGAGGAGTGCTTGAAATTGTTTTATTAACTGCTGCAGGGAGGCCTTTTCTCTTGAATTCGTCCCACTATTTCTCCTTTTTCTCTTTCTATCTTCTCTCAGTCATTGCCTTTTTTGGCCCCCCCCCCCCCCCCCTTCATCAGATTTTGATTTCGTTTTCTAGTTGCTGTGTTGTTCAGCCAAGGCTGTTTCTTCCATAGAACACACTCTTGAAAGGCTATTCATGGATTTTTCAATAAACCCCTATTACATTTGCGTGCAAGTGTGTGTGTGTGTGTGTGTGGTGGGTGAGAGCAAGAGAGAGAGAAAGAGAAAAATAGAGAGGGAAAGGTATTACGGGGGCTGTGTTACAGTACCATCTGTATGCAAATGTCTTCAGACTTTAGTAAACTTTGATCAAACACTCAGGCCTTCTTTTTTCTCCCCGCACACACTCCCTCCTCCTCCTCCCACCCTCTCCTGCTTCACTGTCCACTGTGTTGGACAATTACTGTAGATTCACAGCTCTTTGTCACAGCTTCATATTACTCAACAAGTGTACAGAGGTCCCTGACGGACCGCGCTTTTATTCCACCGGGACAAAAACAACATCCATGTTTTCTGCCCCAACAACCCTCGGCACCCTCCCTTTTCTGCTCCGCTACCTACCATAACTCCCATTTCTGAGCACCTGCAACTGTGCTAGACTCCACAACAGATGGTGACCCACCCCTGACACACTCCCTCACACAGATACACACTCATCACACACACATTCCCCCGCCTTTCAGATAGCGCAGCTCTTGGCAAAGTGAGCCCAGTGTGGCGCACGGGTGATGCCATTGTGCAGAAGTTGGGCACACACAGGACGCTTTGTTTCCTCCATATGGGAAGGTTAACATGCTGAATTCAGATCCGGTGTCCAAAAGGACAATGCAAGTGTTGTGACAAATGTTTGTTAATTAATGGAGATCTCTACGGAGATGACACCAACACACTTGAAAAACACAAACATGCATTATCTCATGTGCAGCTTTAATGTCCTGCCTTCAGTAAGACATAAGCCCATTAGATCTGTGTAGTGTGTGTGTGTGTAAGCAGCCCCATCCAGTCAAGCAGTCACTGAGCAGAAAGAAAAGCCTTGACCATATGTCTGTTAAACATAGATGACTACTCTACGGCGTCAGCTCCCATCTAAACCAATTAGCCTCTTTTCAGAGAGTACAGAACTTAACTACAGTTGAAACGTGTCCGCATGAGTGTGCAGCTGAAAATAAAGCAACTTCATGTTTATGTAAAGTACTAGCTCAGATCTTTTTAGTTGGGATTCTTTGGAATGATTTGAGCAAATAATATACACCTACAGATAGCTCTTTGAACGACCTTCCATCCATCATCTTTACCTGCTTCTTTCTTTTTGGGTTGTGGGGACCACTGGTGCCCATATCCAGCTATCACTGTGCGAGAGGTGGAGGACACCCTGGACAGGTCTCCAGTCCATCACAGGGACACGAAGAGACAAACGAGACAAACAACGATTCACTTTCTCACTCACGCCTAGAGACAATTTAGAGTTACAAATGAGCCGAAAATGCATGTTTTTGGTCTGTGGGAGGAAACTGGAGTAACTAGAGAAAACTCACACATGCACGGAGAGAACATGCAAACTCCACCCAGAAAATCTATCCTGATGCATGCTCAGTAACTCGGGTAGAAAAATCAAAAAAAGTTAAGTCGGGTCCTCTGGACGGGTTCAAAAAACAAAAAATTGTAGAAACGTTTCGTCTTTCATCCGAAAGACTTCTTCATTCTGAGGAGCTGCACAGTCTTATAAATAGCACCTTCTCCTAGAGGATTAACCAGTTTGTTGTTGACAGCCAAAACTAGCTGTTCACATGATCAAGGAGGACCATCAGCCTAATGGATCGTTAACACCCCGATAGCTGCTTGTTGTTCACAGAGTGATACCAGCAATAACAACATTGTAAGAGGGGGACAGTTGAACACGTCTTTCAGATGAAAGACGAAATGTTTCTACAATTTTTTTGTTTTTTGAACCCGTTCAGAGGACCAGACTTAACTTTTTTTTTTAGAACCAACCAGAAAGATCCCAGGCCCGGATTCGATCTAGCGACCTTCTTGCTTAGAGGCGGCAGCTCTACCACCCGAGGCCTGAATGACCTTAGTTTGGAGAAATACAGTTTACTTCTGATTCTGATGGACAGGCCAGCTATTCTGAGCAGTTGTTTGAAATCAACTCCAATTAAAAAATAAATAAAAATTAAAGATCACTTCCACCATGTGGTGTGATTTCCAAAAGACTCAAAACCCAGTTACGGTTGTATTTTCTTTTGTCTCATTAAAAAGGGAAGCATAAATGGCATCTCACTGTTAGAGACTAGTTAGTGACTCAAAATTGCAACAACAACAACAAAAAAAGGTGAATTTTAGTTGCAGTTACACTGAATTTTGAGTATTTAAGTGTTCTGTGCAGACATTTTTTAAAAGACCTCTAAATTTTGTGTGTACATCTTGCAAATCTGTGTTTTAGGAGACATTATTTTTGTTGCCCACTACTTTGTATCGTGTGTTTAGGACCATTTAGAGAAGTCTTTTCAGTAAGACACTAACTTTCCAACAGTACCCCGCTTTAAAACACCTGCAGTTTAACACAGCGGACAGGAAGTGCGATACTTGACTTTTGTTTGTGCATAAATGTAATATTTATTGAGCACTGATATGGAGCCATTGTTTCCCCTCTCCTAAACGTTCAGGGTTATTGTCCATGTACTTGTTTTCTATAAACCAGGCAGGATAAGCCATCAGGCAGATGGTAAGGGGAAGTCCCACGAGAGGGCTCAACACACACACAGACAGATAAAGACACCAGCCTCCTGTTTCCATACATGCACATGCACTGTAAGTGTGCACAAAGACACCAGACCCCAGTTATGTAATCCACCAGTTCCTCTCCCTCCCCTGACTGAGAGGCTCAGTTTCGGTCCGTCTCAGCAAGAAAAACAAAGTCATTAGTCTTCATATAGGGCTGTCCTTTCTATAGGACGCATGCCACTGGATCAGTTTGATCCTGCTCCAGTGAAACCGCTCCATAATACAACGGGAAGTACATGAAAAAAAATCAACAGAGTCGACTATAGCACTCGAAAGAAAAATTGTTTTCCCCCCTCAAAAAAAGGCGGCTATATTATTATGCTGCGTTAATTGCCCCTATCCCTCCGTGAACACGCCGAATGGCTGCACAGACCACATCAACAGATTTCTCTTTCAGCCATCTCCAGAGAGCACCTCGCCAGGTTCCTGAAAGGCACCAATGTGGGCTGAGGCCCAGCACTGAAGTCGCAGAGAGGTGGGGGTGGTTGAAGGAGAAGGGAGGTCAGGGGAGGTGATGGAGGAGGGCAGAGCCATGTGGCTGATGTTGGTAAACAATATCCAGTCTTGTCCTGGCGTCGTGGCAGGCGGCGCACAACGCCGGAGATATCAGGCACCCGGGCCACACACAGGCCGCGACAAAAGGTGAGACACATAGAGGGACATTTGCATTCATAACCGCACACACACACACACAGATACAGACTACAACAGACGAATAAAAGACTCACTCTCGTGTCTGCCACTCAGCAGCTGCTCCAGTTTCCATGGCAACGGCCTGAACAATGTAGCAGGGAAGAGAGAGCAGTGTTGGTTTGAGAGGGAAATCGAGGGATGTGGAAATGTGTGCGCCTGTGCACTTGAAGTGAGTGTGAATGTGTGTGTGGGTGGGTGTGAGAGGCTGGAGAGGGGGAGGCAGCCGCAGGGTGCTGAGACAGAGGATTCAGAAGATTCTTTGTCAGGATGGGAGCAAAACAAATGCAGAGATACGGAAGCAAGTGCACGTAGAGCACATAAAAGGTGACGCTCTGCACATTTTCTTGCAAGAAACTCCACAAAAAATGATTTTATGTCTATTTATTTTTCAAAATGAGGTATTTCAAAGTGCTATGAGTTGCAGCACTAAATGTACATTTAAAAAAAGAATAAAATGAAAGAAGCATCTTATATCAGTTTACCCAGTTCTATGCACCCGATAAAATATTAACAAAAGAGAAAAGGAAAAAAAAAAAACAGTCCAGGTACGTGTGGATAAAACACATTTGCTGTACAAAACAATTGGAGATAGAGAGGAAACCGATGAGATAAAGTGATATCTACTGAAAACTCATTTTCATACGAAAATATAATTATTCAATTTAGTATGTATAAAGTTCACACTAAAAAGCAAGAAAAGGTGTGTGGAATTAGTAATATGGTACAAAACGAAGAAAAAGATAAAACAATATGTTGTTATATTACAAAGTATTACGACGCTCATAAACTGAGGCCTTACAGTACTTTTGAAAAACGTATATAAACTTCCAGTCTAGTTATTGGCAGCTTCCTGACTCGTATATAAAAAAACAATGACAAAAAAAGTGTTTTACAAAACAAGGCAGATCTGAGTGTATTTTGTCTGTACACTATTGTTATATACAAAAGTGTCGCCCAGCAAGGTGCACAGTTATACATCCACTGACTTGGTTTGAGCACCAGTGTGAGAGTGAACCTGTAGTGGCTTTGTTTACGTGACCCATAACGCCTCAGTCATCAGTCTTTATTTCTTTTTTTCAGTTTTGCAGTGGTGAAGGCAAAAGTGTGCACTGCTATGTTCACTGTATGTGAACTCTCCAAGCAAAGTGCCCTCTAACACCTGTCCCTGTGTGGAATCGCTCGATTCCAGGCTGGTGTCACAGTGAGTACAAAACTCATAAAAAGGAAAAAATATTTATATAGAAATGATACAAAACCAGAGGAAGTGAAGACCAAAAAATATGTTCTGCATCTCCCCATTCTTTCGCTTTTTCCTCAATTGTGACTGAATTGAAAAAGTAAACCCTAAACATTCTTAACGTCAACAAATGTGCAAAAAAAGTGGCGGCAGTGAAAGTCCGAGCATCTCTCCAGCAGCCCCCCTGCAACCCACTTTTCTCCTCTGCTCCAGGTGTGGATCAACACGTGCACACGTACAGTTATATAGGCCTATGCGCCTGTGCTTAAGTGCATAGGCCCGTGTGTGCAGCTGAGTCTGAGCGTGTTGAGGCAGAGGATTTCAGATCGGCGGAGTCATCCAGGGTATGTGTGAAGTTTCTGTGTTAGCGTTCGTCTGTTAGCGAGTCCTAGCCTGCTCCAGCCTGCGCATCAGCTGTTGCCTGCGAACCTGGAGCCTGTCCTTCTCCTGCTGGAGTCTCATCTCTTCCGTCTCCAGCGAACTCACGTACTCCGTGGCCTTCTTCAAGATCAACACCTTGGCCGCCTTCTCGTTGCGCGCCAGCTCCGGCACGTGGTCGCGCAGCGTCAGGAAGCTGGACCGCAGGTCGTTGCGCCGCTGCCGCTCCAGGATGTTGTGGTTGCGCCTGCGCTCGCTGTCCTCCGAGTCGGAGCCGCCGCGCGGGCTGCTGTCCCCGCTGGTGCTGCGCTTGCTGCGCGCCGCGCCGCCGACGGAGCTGCAAAACGAGGAGGAAGACGACGAGGAGGTGGTTCGGGTATGGTGGCGCGACGACTCTGATGTCTTCTGTTTCTTTGGAGGTGGGATTGGGTCGTCGTCTGAGGCGTACGGTGAGGGGGCTGCGTAGTTGTGTTGCTGCTGGTGGACGGAGCTCCTCTTCAAGATGAGCTCCTGAGGACTGCGGCTGACAAAGCGACTCATCGCTCCGGACCCTGAGACCGTTGCTTTTCCATCTTGGCTCTTTGCATGTAGGGTGCCGGTGGCCATGGGGAATGATTTGCTGATTGTAGAGCGCCTCTTCTCTACTGTAACTACATCAATCTCTTCCTCCTCTTCTTCTTCTTCTTCTTCTTCCTCCTCTTCATCATCATCATCATCCTCATCCTCATCATCCTCATCATCTTCTTCTTCTGGGGAAAAACAAAACAAGCCAGTCAGTTTGACATGCCAAACATCCTCACCATCTCTTGTATGTTACGCAGCGGCTGCAGGTATGTCTGTACAATAGAGAGAATGTGAGTGGGAGAAGGTTGCTCAATGCTGTTTGCACAAGTCAAACTTTGCTAATGCTCAGTGTCAGCCACTTTTAGACTAATCTACTCTGCAGGCATTGGCATGTTCATTCTCAAAGCAAGCAGGTTGGATTTATGCTTTTTTTTATTGACTAACCTTCTTCTGCAAGGTGATGCGTTCAGTCTTTTATGCTGAAGTTAATTTATATTTTCCCCCTCCATCTAAGGGTTGTATCATCAACCGTAGGGGCGGGGGATCAGAGGGTGCGAGGCACAGTAAAAATACTTGTGTGATAATGGCTCTCATTATCAGCTCAGGAGCATCTGAAAGAGTGTGGCAGTTTACAGCTTATAGGAGCCACTTCAGAGAGCCAGGATGCTGCCTCAACAACACACATGCAGTCTGCTGCTCCTGCTGACATCAAAACAAAGCTGGGCACAGCTGGCTGCGTGAGGGCGGGGGGGTTGGCCGACTGCGCCACATGTGAGGCTCTTAAAGATTGGAGCATTTTCCTTTTCAGGGTGGAAAATAAATAGGGTGCTGAAGTATGAAGACGGGCTGCATTGGTCTAAAACGGTCCTTTTCGGTGTGAAAGGCTTTGCAACGGATGTGCAAACGGAGTGCAGGGTGCGCGCCATCCGATCACCACCTCCAAACTGGAGCGGCGCCAGGGAGACAGCTGTCGAGATGGAGCGCTTGCTCAAAGCTGTCAGCCCCCACCTCACCCCCCCCCCTCCAGCCACCCGCCCACACACAAAAAGCAGCAGTCAGGACTCTTCTCAGTTTCCTCTGCTTCTCTGCTGAGGTGTTTGGCAAGACTGACCCGAGCCTGCGCCAAGCTGGAGGCCCTTTGTACCGTTCACACAGCGAGGAGGGCTCGTACTTGTTTAGAGAACTCATATTCCATTTTTTTCCTCTAAAGTAACATTTTGAATATTTTGAGTCTTTGGTCGTATTTCTACAGTTATCTCATGTGGAGCTGTCTATGAGCCAACTCCTCACCCACTGTGCGCAAATTGACCCCTAATCCTGTGCGTAATGAAAGCCTGCACGCAGTGAACTGGACACTTTGGCATTATTGAACACCTCATCACCCCCCCCCCCCCCTTACAACCTGGTCAGTGTGTTGCCTTGTTGTTAATCGTCTCTTTGGCTGGGATGCCAGCTGACTGCAGTGAGGGAGACAAGTCCCCATTTTACTGCCATCTGCCGGATGAAGAGCCGCTGATTACATAAACCCACAGTTCAATGTGTCACTACTCCGCTGCGCGCGTGCGGCTGCAAGGGTCACTGGTGTGTGCGCGCGTGCGCGTTAATCCGATTCCGGGACGAGTCATATGAACAAGCTGGGCGCGCGGCGTTTTCTACAAAACAGTTGCTCACCTGAGTCGCTGTCTGCGCCGCCGCGCACGCTCGACGTGTCGGGGGCCCCCGCTGCGTCCCTGCCGCCGCTCTTCTTGCTGTTCACCGGGAAGGGGAACACCACCGCCGGGTCCACGCACTCCGACACCGAGCTGCGGCTCACCGCCTCCGGCGCCTTGGCGCTCCTCCCCGCCGCCGCCGTGCCCGTACACATCGCCTTGCCGAGCTTCTCCGTCACCGCGCGCTCCAGCTTCTCGCGCGCGGAGAAGCCGCTCCACATGCAGTCCTGGATGATGATGCTGTCCGGGTTTGTATCCAAAGCGGAACCGAACAGGTCCCCGTCGTCGTTTGCTCCCCATATGTCTTCCTCGGGCAGGAACAGCAGTTCGGAAGCCCAGTCCAGTGGGTCTCCCAGGCCGAAGCCGAGGGGGTCCACCTCGGGGGAGGCGGCCGGCTCTCCTGGTAGCGCGGCGCGGCTTGGAGAGAGGGGCGGAGTGGGTAGCAGCTCGAATTTCTTCCAGATGTCCTCCCCCGGTGGCGCAGAGTCGGGACAGCAGAAGTAGAAATCGTCCTCATCCGGATAGAAACATGGCTGCAAGGAGTCAAACTCCAAATCGGAGCTTTTACTTATGATCGCCGGCATTTTATCCCCCCCAGTGGAAAATCTACTCGTCAGTTTATTTACACAGCGCCAAGTCACAAAAGAAGTTCTCTCAGGGCAAAAATCCTGCGGAGACACAACAAAAACACGTCACTTTCATGTCCCCCCCTGTCCTCTCACACCTCCAGCCTGCGCTGAGTCAAAGCCCACACACAGCCCGCCACATTAAATTCCAAACTCCTTCCTTTGTGGGGTTTAAACGCGCACACACGCGCGCGCTCACACAGACACACACACACACACATACGCAGCCCAATCTTTCAAGAGGTGCGTAAATGTGACCATGACGCACAGACTGGGTTAAATAAAAGAGCCGCACTTTTCTTCCGGCGCAGCAGAAATTGAAAACAAAGCCATTAAAAAAATAAAAAAATCAACTTATTTCCATGAGAACAAATAAATAGAACAAATAGGCTTTGTTTGGAAAAAATGTTGAGTCAGAGAGAAGAGAATGAGAAGATGCTCACCTCGTCCCCCGACTTGAATGATGACCTCTGAGCCAGTTCCTCTCGTGTTGCGCAGTCAATAAGATGAAAACACCAGATTTGGAGCAGTCACCCACTCTGGGAGCACTGACAGTCCTCTGACACACATTGTGGCTCGCTGCGGAGAGTTATACACTTGGAGCTTTGAGGGAGGGAAGCTGGCTCCTCCCACACAGGCTCTGGGGGGTGGGGGTTGGGGGGACGGAGCTGCATGGGGTTGATGCGGTTCTGGAGACAGAGGCTGGGAGCTTTCTTTTCAAGGTGAATGGAGAGAATAAAAGCTCAAGGAATGAAAAACGGGAAGATATATTTTACAATAAAAGAACCAAAAGTTAAGGAATTATTAATAGCCTCAGGCAACTGTCTTATTATATACAAAGGATGTCCATTTTTGAAATTGCTCAAAGGCACTACAGCAGGCAAAATAAACCATTACTTTTATTTAATTTTTATATAAATTAACTATTTATGTCTCTTCATGAAGACAGCCAGTTTATAATTAAAAAAAAAATCAGTATGTATTTGTGAAATATTTGTTGACTTATATCAACAAAAAGCTAAAAGATCTTGACTTTTTAAGCCAGTTTAATATTTATATATGTCTGATGATGATTTCTCCACGCAAATAAATAAATAAATAAATCCATGTTTGCCCTTTCTTTCTCTAAACATTTCCTCTTTTGTCTGAAGGACCACCAGCATCTCAGGATGAGACAAAGTGGGGCTCACCTGCGCCCTCTAACGGACAAAAATAAAACAGCAACCGACGTGCAGAAGTGACAAAGAAATGAGCAAGAGTGACAATTTTTCCTTATAGAAATAAACAAAAGGTAGTCTAAAGGAATAAAAAAACGCTTGCCAAGCTGTAGGGAACAAACTTTTTTTTTTTTTAAATGAGGAAGAAACAGGCTGTGCAGGATGGGGAGCTTGCAGCTGCCTCCGGGATGAGAAGAGAATGTTACGTAACCGCAAGCGGTGGTTGCAGCCCGGAGTTATTCCCATTCCCTTTTTCTAATGAGCCCTTAGGAGGAACTTCGCATCTGTAATTATGCACAGGCGCGCGCACACAGAATCCTGATATTCAGTGAAAATGTTTACAAAACGTTGTGAGCTGGGAGGAAGCTTCCAACTATTTTCAAACAACACACATTTATACTTTAAGAAACATAAAAAAACAGAAACAGAACTTTTATGCTTTTTAATACAAAAAAAAAGTTGTTTTTTGTAATAAAAATATCAAATTAATACACCATTAAGGCAAGTGCAATTTTACAACAGTTTATTTTTTTAATATCAATCTATGTGCAAATACTTTGGGGAGTGGTGGTGCAGAGGTTAGAGAAGGTGGGCCTGTGATGGAAGCTGGTCGGTTCAACTCCCGGTACTGACAACATCAAAATGTGGGTGAGACAGGTGAGCACCCACACCTGCTTCCACCCTCGGATGTTATCAGCCATTAAATAGCGTTATTAGTTGTTATCATCTCCATATGTAGCGGTCAGACTGCCCCTCCTGTACCTCCCAGTGGGTTTAAAGGTGCGTTGTTAGCGCTCATAATAGCTTCACATGGTTAGGTTTAGAGTAAAGGGTCTTGGTTGGGTTTAGGCACAAGGGTAAGGGGGTTAAGTTTAGGGTTGGTCCTCAGGGTCAGGTGAAAACAACTAAAAAGACACTTCCTGGTTTACCCCCGTACGACGCTGCCTATTATCAGCAATAATAACGATAATAACACACCTTTAAACCTACTAGGAGGTAGGTGGGACAGTTTGACTGCTACATATGGGGATGATAACAACTAACGGCCATTTAATGGACTGATAACATCCGAAGCTGCTCTCCACCCCCACCATCTGCTCCTCTGGGCACCCATGGCAGCTCTCTGCTCCACACAGAGGGCTGTGGTAGCGCAGTGGTGTGTGGTTGTGTCAGGAAGGACATCCTGTGTAAAAATAACTGCCAAGTCTTCGTTCGACTTAGTTCGCTGTGGCGACCCCTGAAAAACGGAGCAGCTGAAAGAAAACACAAATAAAAATCAATGTATGTGCAAATACCACTTGAGCTCTTTGCATTTATTATTTTACTTGTGTTATGTTGAAACAGCCAAAGCCAGTAAGTAAAGTGAGAATCTACAGCTGTTTGCTCCACAGATATGGGAGAACAGGGAGTTTCCTCCATGGGACTTCCAGCTCTCAGGAACTGGAGAAATGGCTCTGGAGTCAGAAACTCCCCACAGGCTCTTACATGTCTGCGTATTTTACTTTTTCTCAAACTGTTTCTGTTTGGCTCCGACCCTCCAGCAGCAGCAGCTTCCTCAGCTGTGAAACCAGTCGGAGAGTGGGAGTGAGAACACCAGGGAGACTTGTTTTACTTTGTGCAGCGAGGAAGATCTGCTTCGCACAGGAAGCTGTATGGCCTATTGCTCTAAAGGACATCGACAAATAAAGGTTGCTTTCTTGTTTTTACTCATCCACATGTAATTTATTTTCTCTCACGGTGGTGAAGTTAGAGCTGCCGGCTCTCAGCGAGAAGGTCGTCGGATCGAATCCCGGCTGGGGACCTTTTCTGGTTGGAGTTTGCATGTTCTGTCCGTGCATGCGTGAGTTTTCTCCATGTATTCTGGTTTCCTCCCACAGACCAAAAAACATGCATGTTAGGCTGACTGGTAACTGAGTGAATGGTTGTTTGTCTCTTTTGTCTCTATGTGTCCCTGTGATGGACGGAGACCTGTCCATGGTGTCCTCCGCCTCTCGCACAGTGACTGCTGGATATGGGCACCAGTGACCTCTGTGATCTGAAAAGGAAGAAGTGGGTAATGATTATTGATGGATCAACACCCGCTCTACATGAAACACTTCTTGTGTCCCATTTCAGTTCGATTTGTCAGTTTTTAAACTATTCTTATCCTTGACAATTTTACTTCTGGATGGATAAAGTCCACAGCGAAGTGAGGAGTGGCCTTTTGGCGAGTTGTTTTTGGGACGGTTGTGGTATGCCCAGCATCCCTCCAACCATCCACCTCTGGACCGGACATGGATGGTTAGGCAATTAGGGCAGTTTTGATAAAAAATTCAGAAGTCCCCAGAGTGGATGGTGCAAAAGGAGAATGCTGTGAGCAAAATCTGCTGCAGTGACACCAGGACAGGCTATATTAGGTCAAACAGAACCCATGTCATTCATATTTAAATAGTGCATAAGAGTCTGTGGCCACTGGCTGTTTGCAAGCGTCTAGTACTGCTCTCAAGTTATTCAAAGTGAAAACAATGTCACAAAACAGGATTTTAAATAATGCATATGGTGATGCAGCCATTGCATCGTCACAAGTCATGTATGAGGTGGCAGCTCCTTAAAACATGCACAGTCAGTTTGAAGGGAGATATAGAAAATATACTTTTAAACCACAGCTTTACTTGTATGTGCTAAAGAAGTGGGGATGCTTCACAAACATGGCCCCGCTGTGCTGTTGCCATCAGATTCAAATCCCCACCCTTAAAAATTGTACCATTTATTTATTTATTAACTTACTATGATTTTTTTGGTAATGAAATGTGTGTTTATGACATGCCAAAGCATTGCATTGTGTTTTTATGTCATTATAAGGAGGAGACTTGGACTCAGAAGCACAGACTGAGAAGCAGAGTAAAAAAAAACAAAAAAAAACTTTTTGTTCATTTTCTTTATTTCCACAGGTCAGTCACATTGAGACACTTGTCTCATTTGCAAGAGAGACAAGTTACACAAAAATAAAACACAACCAATAAAATCTATACAACCAATAAAATACATTACCGTATTTTCCGCCATATACGTTGCACCGTCTTATAGGTCTCATCAGTCCAAATATGTGTCATGAAGTGGAAAAAACATAAATACGTTGCTTCGCCGTATAAGTCACATCTATTATGCGTCACCGCTGATGTGTCGCCTTTGTTACCCGTCACCGCTGTCAACCCGGAAATGTGGGCCGGTGTTGTGTCAAAAGTCGATTGGCTGCCAAATGGCGACCGTGGGAGCGTGCACAGGAGGACTTTAACAAGAATTTAACAAGATTAACACTTAAAAACAATTGTTTGTTTGCTTGAAATCATAGCAAAGCTGTGTCTTAGTTTAACTTTTACTTAATAAATGCACTTTAATGGTCAAATTAGCTGCATTTCAAAAGTATATGCTGCCTCGGTGCTCCAGGAGCACGCAGAGGGAGGAAATCAGGAAGGAGGAACGCTGCGCATTTCTTCGAAATTTAACAAGATAAGCACCTAAAACAATTATTTGTTTGCTTGAAATTATAGCAAAGGTGCGTCTCTGTTGAACTTTTATTTAATAAATGCACTTCAATGGTCAAATCAGCTGCCGGGGCGGTGCAACGAAGTTAAGCTAATTTGACTGTTGCTCCAGGCATGATCCTGGAGCTGGATGAAGGTGGCCTCTATGGCAAGCCGATTGTGTCATTAATAGACATTTTTACCTATTACATGACACAACGGCATGCCATACTACTCGAGTGCCATCTAGTGGCTGAAAATGGTAGTGTTCAATATTTTCAGTCAGAATGAATGAAAACGGTCATATCTCAGTCAAAAACTAGTTTATAAATATGGGAGGGAACAAAACAAAACATAAATAAGTAACTTCAGTGTATAAGTCACAGGGCATGTAAATTATGCAAAAACTGCAACTTACAGGCCAAAAAATACGGTAGTATAAAATTTACACATCAATAAAAGCATATCGGAAATTTTCCATCATGAGCATAAAAGTAATCGACAAACTCCAGAACAGGAGCAAGCTTTTTGGGATGTGATTTCCATTTTTCACTGGAAGTTTAAATATCTCGAGGCGAGACCAGACAGCTTCTGATCCTGCAGAAGTGTTTTAGCTGGAGGTGCCAGAGCATGAGAACATCTTCTTACTCAGCTCAGTGTGCACCCGTGGAACGCTGCAGGTGATGAAAGCCTGAGAGTGAAGGCTGCGACGGTGCTGTGAACAAGTCAGGCAACAAGACAGCTACAATGGGCCCAGACAGAATAGATTTGTAAGTACATGTGCACCAATGTAAA